AGCTCCTCACCGATCAATGGTTCAAAGATAATCACACCTCCCTAACATGCAGGGATGGCTTGGCTTACAAAGGGGGGAAACTATATTTGCCAGAAGCCCTCCGTCTTAATGCTCTCAAACACAGCCATGATGTAAAACAGGCTGGACACTTTGGATATTTGAAAACCCTACACCTCACCCACTGGCAATTTTGGTGGCCGGGGCTGAAAAGGGATGTGGAAAACTATGTAAAAAGTTGTACTGGATGTGCCACAATGAAAAGAATCCCAGGGAAAACCCTTGGGTTACTGCAACCCATGGCAGACCCTTCTCAACCATGGAAAGAAATAGCTATGGACTTTATAGTAGACCTACCTGAAAGTAGAGGAAATACTGTCATCTGGACTGTTATAGACCTGTTCTCGAAGCAGGCTCATTTCATCGCCTGCAAAGGACTCCCAACTGCCCAACGACTGACCAAATTGTTCCTGAAACATATCTATCAGCTGCATGGCACCCCTAAGCGAATAATTTCAGATGGGGGTGCAGTTCACAGCGAAGTTTTGGAAGAGTTTTCTTAAATTAATTGGATCATCTCAAGGTCTATCATCTGCTTTTCATCCAGCCACCAATGAGGCTGCAGAATCCGCTAACAAAATGGTGGAACAATATCTTAGATGCTACGTTTCTTACCAACAGACGAACTGGACCAACCTCCTCTCTTTTGCAGAGGTGGGGTACAATAATTCTGTGCACGGCAGCACTGGCTACACGTCTTTCAGAGTGGCCACAGGAAAAGAGGTCAACCCAATACCTGAATATCCTCAGGTGCCCTTCGGTTCCCAGACATTTGACCAATGGTGAGGGGGTGGGAAGAAGTTTGGAGAAATACAAAAACTGCTTTAAAAAAAGACTTTTGAAACCTATAAAAAGCAGGCTGATAGAAAGAGAGCTCCCCAAAGAACATTCCAAGTTGGGGAAAAGGTTTTATTGTCAACTAAATATTTACGCCTCAAATTGCCCAGCAAGAAATTGGGACCAAAATTCTTGGGGCCTTTCCTCATAGTAAGGATCATCAATTCGGTCACTGTAGAACTAAAACTCCCTAGACTTTTAGGGAGAATTCACCCAGTCTTTCATTGCAGCTTGTTGAAACCTTATCGGGGCTCCACTTTAAGACCTCCCCTGAAGAAGGCACCTGGGCCCTTCGTAGTTGCGGGACAGACCCACTATGAAGTGAAATGTATTCTTGATTCTAGAATCTTTAAAGGGAAATTGCAGTACCTAATACAATGGAAGGGATACCCGTTGTCTGAAGCCACATGGGTGAAATCCAGTGAGGTGAAAGCTGACAGGCTTGTCAAAAGGTTTCATGCGAAATACCCCAACAAACCGAAAACTAGTCATTAATACATGCTTTTGTTTACATTACAGGATCTGTCCTTTTTTTAAGGGGGGGCCGGATGTCCATGCTGCTAATATTGAATATTCTTGCTTTGACAAAATATACAGAACTGTCTGGTATTTTTAGAGTTAATGCAGAGGAGAAGGAGGGAGGAGGGAAAAGCCCACGAAAGGGAAAGGAAGGGAACCTTTGCCTTTCAAACTAATTGGAGAACGTAAATCATGACAGCAAAATAGGGAGGGGAATGCTAGCAAAAATAACTGCTCGGTGGGTGGGAATTTCAGATCTTAGCATTCCTTTCATCATGCCTGTGCCGACATTTTGTCACATAAATAAACTTTTTTTAGGATAAAATGTCTGGAAGTTCTTTGAAGTGTTTCATTAGTCGGAACCATGAACATTATTCATGAAACACCATCAATACCCACCATTGGAGATCCCTATACAATCCATCATATGATTCTCTAAAGACATTAGAGCTAACTATGCTGGCCTCTGATTTGCCAAGTTGGCAAATAAATTTAACTTCTTCATATCTAACGGCTCATGGCTTGGTGACTATCCTGGCGAGTTTACATTTATGACAGGGTCCAAAACCAGCACCATTGATTACATCTTAACTTCTATGGACGTAGTACATTATATAGAAAATGTTGAAGTCCTGCCTTACCTAGAAAGTGATCATCTTCCTCTGTGTATATACATAAAGCCCTTTATCAGGCAGATACCCTCCAAGGACCATTTTATCCCTACAATCTCTACAGCAGGCCTAACAAGATGTTGGATCAAATGGACCCAACAACTTGATCAGAAGGCAAGGAGAGCCCTAACAGAGGATAATTTAAAAAAAAAAAAACAACAACCCGCACAGCCTTTATATCAGCCAACCTAACTCAAGACTTATTAGAACTATATAAAACTTTAGTTTATGAGCTACAACCATTAACACATGACTGAAATTTCTCAGTTAAGAGGTCCTATACCTCCTCCAAACCATGGTTTGATAAGGATTGCATAGAAGCCAAGAAAGCCCTTAATTTGGCATGCAAGGAGACAAAAGCGAGACTGGATATGGCAATAAAGCAATTCTTAAACAGTTACTTACACTCCAAAAACAATTCAAGCAATTGATTGCATTCAAGAAGAGACAAGACACAAGATCTTCCTGGGAACAGCTCATCGTGGCAGCAAAGCAAAATAACTCTTCCTTATTTTGGCGTCTAATAACTTGTCACTCTGAAAGCATCTATATCCCGTTAGACTGTCATATATCTCCTATAATCTGGGAACTTAATTTTCAGAGAATGTATGAAGACCCTTCCAGTGAGAGTACAAGATTTATAATGAAGGATTTACCTGAGTGGCCTTACATACCAAAACATCCCTCAAGGTGAGGTGTAATATGCAAGGGTCTCTCTCGAGGTCAAAAGGGGGTTAAACGGGTGCATTTTGGCCTCCTTGCTCTTCAATTTTTACATAAATATGGTAAAATAGTTAAATAATCCAAATTACCACCCCCAAGAAATAGGTGACCAAAGCATTGCTCTGCTGCTCTATGCAGATGATGCTGTGATTGTCTCCAGGATACCAGTTGGCCTTAAAAGAGCCTTATGAGCCCTTATCCAGTATTGCAAATATAATAAACTGGACATAAATTATGAGAAAACAAAGGTAATGGCATTTGCAAAAAGGCCAAAACAGTACTCATGGTATTTAAATAGCCACAAAATAGAGCAGGTAACCATCTTTAAATACCTAGGGGTGGTCATCCATGCCACTGGCTCACAAAAAGCCCATGGAAAATACACGGCTGCCTATTGCCAACGATCAGTAAATGCCATTTTTAATTTTTCCACACAAAGGGAGGACACTATATTCTAGTTACAGTTAAGCTCTTCTGGCCAAGTCGCTAGCACAGCTTCTCTACAGGACCTTGCTCGGACCCTCAGATTTGTGTTTTACACCACTGGAAAGAGTTCAATCCAAATTTATCAGAACAATTCTCCAGATGCCGCGCTGTATCCCAAATGCGTTTCTGCACCTGGAGACAGGATTGATAAAAATCGAAGCAAGAATCTGTATAGCGTCCTTAAACATCTGGCTATGGCTTAATTGCTTTCTGCAAGGCCTTGCTCCATTAATTCTTCAAGATAAAATTCTCCTCTTCATGGATCAAGGCAGTCGAGTCCAACCTTGCCAAACTAGGCTTCTCATTAGCCTCAATTCTTAAATTGGACTACCAAGCAAAACAAACTTTGCGTCAAAGGGTAGAAGACATCGAGAGGCAAGTGGACTTAGGTATAGTTCCGCTGTTTCTGGCTCCAGACTCTATTAATATGTGGTTACACCTGCCAGGTATCTTAGTCAGTTGGAGTCAGTAAATCACTGGAAAGCATTCTTGTTTGTACGGCACCATGCGTTTCCATTAGCCGTTCTGTACGGCAAGTATAAAAAGATTCCATTGGCAGAAAGACTGCTCCTGTGGCTCAGGAGAGGTGGAAGCCATTGGACACATACTCCTTCGATGTTCCTTCTATAAAGCTATTCGGAAAAATCATATCCTCCCATAACTGATAGGTATCCTGGTTGTTCGGAAAATATTTATCTCCAATGGCTGCTTAAGGATGAGCAGGCAGTGATCACAGCGCAGGTGGTTAGATTCTGCGCAGCAGCACTGGGGATTCGCCAGAAACATAAACATTTTAGATCTTTTTAATAATCTTTTACATTTTAGATCTTTTTAATAATCTTTTATAATCAATTTTATTATGTGTTTTTATTCAGCATTAGACTATAGTCAAAGTATTTTTATTGTCAGGTCAGTATGATTGTTTTTCTGAAGCTAGTTCGTTTTTTTATACTGTCTGTAGGCAGCCCTTGGTCACCCATTGATTACATCATTAATGGTAATATACTGCTATGTCTTCTTGTGTTGGTTTTGTTTTATTTGAATGTTTAATTTATGTGTTGGCCTTCGGCTGTAATAATAAATTGACTGATTAATTGGACAAGTGTAGCATGATCAAATCTACCTGGGATAAGAGGAATTCCAAGTAAGAGATATTTTGTTTGTACATTTTTAGCAAGCTATGTTGGACCATAAGTCAGCAATGGCTATAAATTCCAGAAGGATCAAGATCACAGCTGGAATTCTATTGACTTTTCTTAGTGAATTCAGAGATGGGTACTCCCTCCTCAAAAAAGAGTTAACTTCTTGATTCTGCCTACTGGAACAAGGGAGAAATAGCCTATCCCTAGGATTCCTTTCTAGAGAAAAAGAATATTCTTCTATTTTCAAAATTAGCCTTATTTCAAAACAAGCCAAAATACACATATAAAGCCACTATTAAAAGAAACATCTACTTAATTAAGGAGAAAAATACTTTCTACACCATACTGCTTTCGAAATTATTAAATCTGCAGACTTACATTATAATATTGATACAAATACATGCTATTCTAACAATGGTGATTATTTCTATTCTGGGCTATCTGTTTAGAGTTTTGAGATACATTAAAAAAAATACATCTGTAGAAGTTTGTAACATTCCTCTTTTGTATTCTAAAGCTCTTTAGTTATTTCTAATAGATTTGGTTCAAATAAAAAAAACACTTGTTGAAAAGAGGCAAGTGGATTACTCTTTATTACTTTATTAGCATGTCTAAGGAAAACGTAGATGCAATATAATAAGAAAATAATTCTAGGATTTTGGCAGACAATTGGGTTTTCAAAACAGCTTGTGGAGAATGAGAACACTCCAAAAACAGGTGAAACTAGAACTTCCTACCAACTGCCATCAGATGAGAATCCACATGATGATAATACAGGTATGTACAAGGCTCACAGAGACTTTCAGGGCCACTCCTTGACAGTTGTACTGAAATCAGGTAAGCTGCTTTTTCATTCAGAAAATAGAAAGTGGTTTCCCTTCTGACACCTATTTCTAACCACAGCTTCCTTCTATTATATCATCCAGAGTCCTCCTGGAAAAAAAACCAACAACACGAGCACAATTACAAATCTGTCAAACTGCTGGCACAACCTACAACTTGTTATTGGCAAAAAAATGTCTGTTTCAAAAGGATAAGGCAGAGCCTGCATAAGACAAAATATGATGTATTGATCAAAATATTTCAGCTAGGACAGGGAAGCTGAACCAAGGTATGAAACTCACTTGACAGCGAGGGCTAGTCTCTGTGTCTACCTAGAGGGTTTGCTGCCAGTTAAAGTGGGAAGGGCAAAGGGAGAAAAGATGAAGTGCTCTGCCTTGAATTCCTGTAGAAAACCAGGTATGAATTCAAATAAAATAGGCCAAGACGATTTATTCCAGCTACATCAGTGAATTTCAGTGATATATTCCAGGTGCTCTGAGCAGTAACCATTACAGCTACATACTTGCTGAAACTTACTTTTGCTCTTCAGAGAGTTCAAATTCTTCTAGAATTGTCTTGGCGAGCAGTGAAGTTGATTGTATACCGTATTCAGCAGTCAGCTTTAGTAGTTCAAGTGCTTTATCCGCTTGGCTACTTTGTTTAATACAATTGAACATTTCTTTCACTGTCAAATCGCTGCATAAGGGAAAAAGGAATATGGATACTGCAGTGGCATCTGTAACATAGTTTGATGGGAAAACATTTTATCTGCCAAGTTATGATGATAACTACCGAGAGATGGTAAACTACCTAGAGATTGGGAGGGTGGGAGAATAAGTTGAATAATTAATAAACTATTGTGATGTGAGCAAGTTCAGTTCTTTCTGAACCTGATAACCCAATATTTATTGTCAATAACACTAAAGGCACCTCTTCTTCATAATCCTAGTAATTAGATGAATTCTATGAGCAAGCAGGGATGCATCTATCCAGCCAAAATAGCTTTCCTAAAAAGTCTAAGAAGGGAATCTTAATTTGAGAAAAGGACACATTTACTAAAGGAAAGTTTAACTTGAATAATTATATTTTTCTATTCTAAAAAAACCTGCTAAAGTAGACTTGTGCTATCACCTTCTGATTTTTGAATTTCTCGTGATATATAGTATAAAGGTCACTGCTTTATTTATGCTACATCAGCACAAGTGTAGGGCTTCAAACTGTAGATCCAAGAAGGTGACAGCACAGTGCAGAAATTAGCAATACTGTAACAAAAGTTTTGAAAGAAAAGGATCGCTGTAGATTCCAAATTATCAATGCAATGCAGCTCAGTTTTCCCTTCACAGAAAATACTATCACAATATTATTTTCTATACTGAAGAGTAGACCAAGAAATAGGTATTTTTTCAAATGCTAATAATAACAGGTAAACAAATATACACTTCCTGTCCAAACGCTACTTCTCTGCAGTAATACAGAGAAGTCTTTAATACAGAAGTCATTAAAAGTGAATTAAAAGCTTCAAAAGTTAATTAAAATCTCAGTATTCAAGCAGTGGATGTAAATTTCCACAGAGCATTCAGACTTTATTGCGCTTACAACTATAGCAGTTCCCTTGATATCTCTGCTTGCTCTGCTAACAAAACCCATCAGTCCTTCTGAGGACTGAGAAGCTGACATTTGGTGATGGAATCAGGCCAGCACAGGACAAAGCATGGCAGAAAGCAGCACTCTAACCCTGGAGAAAGCTAAGGGTCGAATGAGACTGAATGATAATGAACAAATCAAATCGCAAATAAAGATTAATATTTATTATCAGGACTTCCGAGGGGCAAATGTCAAAAGGTAAAAGCTTACCTGGGAACTTGAGAGTATTTTTTAAAAAGCTGTAGCATGTTCCTATTTGGAGATGAAAGAAATAAAAATTAACATTTGAGTGTAGAAATGAAAAAGGTATGACTAGAAGTCTGTCAAGAGGCCTTATAGGTAGTCCTCAGTTTATAATCATAACTGGGACCAGAATTTCTGTTGTTAAATAAATCACTGCAGTTGTTAAGTGAATCTGGCTTCCCCAGTGACTTTGCTTGTCTTAAGCCAGCAGGAAAGATTGCAAATGATCCAGGTATACCACAATTATTGTAAATACATGCCAGCTGACAAGAATCCAAATTTTGATCATGTGACCTTGAGGAATTAAGTGCAAAGACCAGTTGTACATCACTTTTTACAATGCAGTTTATTTCAGTCACAAATAAATGGTTGTAAGTCAAGAGCTACCTGTAAATTTATAATCCCAAATCTTGTCTTTTGACAAGACAATATAGGTTATGTAGTCAATGAAAAAAAGAACTACAACTAATTCTCCAAGGAAATCCAAAATCCCACTAGAAAATGAAAAAAAAAAAACAACTTATTGACTCAAATAGAATTCCACTTAGGAAAAGAAAAAATGTTTACAGAATATGGAAATTAAGTAATTTTAACAACAATGGAATAAAAAGTACTATAAAAACTAGTTTCTCATGGTGATAACGACTGGCGATGCCTTTGGAAACAACTATAGCAATAAAGATGACAATAAAGATGAAATTGGCTCATTAAGTGTGGTAGCAGCTTCACTCACACCTTTCCCTTGAACAAGTCAATATTTTTCAACAAAGGAAAAAAGGCCTTCATCTCATACAGCCCACAATACCTCTATTATGCTGATAAAAAATCCACCAGTTATAAAGGCTTTTTTCTGCCCAGATGCTACATATATCTGCTCTAGTCTAAAAGTGAAGCAAAAGAAATGAGAAGGCTAGTCAGAGGCCATTAAAATATTAGTGGACTTTCTAGTACAACCTTAAACTATTAGAGCAGGCTCCATGCCTTTATCTATTTTCCTCCTCCAGGAACTGTTTGAAGGAAAAAGAAAACATAACAATAGATAAGGGTCTAGATTTTTTTATTATATTCTCTCTCTTTCTTCTCTCCACCCTCCTCCAATGTGCTTTGGGGCTTAAGTTTTCAATTGAGGGCTCTTTAGAGAAAAAGTTGTTCTCTGCTTCTACACTGAATAAATGAGTCAAAGTCAAAGATGGTAACTAATTGAGCTAGACCAGGGGTAGGCAACCTTGGCTCTTTTATGACTCGTGGACTTCAAATCCCAGAATTCCTGAGCCAGCCATGCTGAGGAGAAATGGAGAGGTTTCCAAGCTGAGCCATGCTGGCTTAGGAATTCTGGGAGTTGAAGTCCACAAGTCATAAAAGAGCCAAGGTTGCCTACCCCTGAGCTAGACAGACTTGTTTTCTCTGGTTCAGGAACCTGGGGTAAGTTGGTTTATTTCAAGATTTATCTCTAGAATGAAATACAAATTATTGGTATTATTTTTTCTTACCAAGCTTCCTGTGTTCTGCCAGCCCTGGCGAAAAGTGTTGTGGTATTATTAAGAGAAGTGTCTGTCCACAGGAGTTGCATGTTCTTGCTCTTTAATTCATGGAGAGATTTTATGTTTTCAGCACAGTCAGCAAATGCAACTTGGGTCTGTAAAACATTAAGATATCAAAGCATTTGCAGCCAACAGTAGCAATATAGCAATGAACATTATTTCAGATCTGAAGCTAAAGTGGTGCTAGCGCAGGTCTAGGTACACCTGCTGTGCTAGACAGCACCTTCTTTATAGGAGAAACCACCAACTGTGGCATGCCCATGGCCTCTCCAAAATGTCTATAGAAAATAATTATCACATAATGCTCCCCTACACACACACACATAAAAAAACCCCCAACAACACAGGAGTAAGACAAAAAAAAACAACAACAACCCCATAACTTAAAGTTTTACCCCCCCCCGTAAAACTTTTAAGATTATTTATTTTTATTGTCTATAAGGGCATTTGTGTATTTAACTGTTGCTAATACAAGTAAATCAAATGTGATTAAACAATCAGTATCAAAAACTTTTTACTATTTTGTTAATTTTCAACCAATGCAATTTTCTATTCTCACCTACTGCCTCATTTAATGATCGTTCAGTTTACAATAGTGTAAAAAAAAAAAAAAAACCCACTCTGCAACCAGTCCTTGCATTTACAACTGTTGCAGGATCCTGTGATCGCTATTCACATTCTTCACAATTGGCTTCTGACAAGTAGAATTAATGCAGAAGGTGGAGGTAAAAGGGGCGTTGTCTTACCTGAACGGCTTTTCTCAGCAGGATGATAGAGTCCACTGGATGGGTTCTATGACAGCCTTCCCGCCCGACAGACTGGGTAAAAACTTTGGCCACACCCTTCCTTTGGGCGTGACTCCAGTTTTGACTGAGACGAGAGTTGTTTGTTGAATTCTATATAGTAGCTCTTTGTCCAATGCCTGCCTAGACCTAATACCTGGGAGGGTGTGGACTCTACATCATCCTGCTGAGAAAAGGCGTTCAGGTAAAACAACGCCCCTTCTCCAGCAGGATGGCTGTGAAGTCCACTGGATGGGACATACCAAAGCCCTCATGTCCCCCTGGGAGGGAGTGTCTAGGCCACTGAATCCTGAGCAGAGACAACTTGCTGTAGCAGTCTTCTTCCAAAGGCAGCCTCCGCTGCCGCAAAGGAGTCTAAACGGTAATGTCTGACAAATACGGCGGGAGAAGACCAAGTTGCGGCCTTACAAATCTCTTCCACCGAGGCTTGTGTGGACCACGCTGCTGATGTGGCCACGCTGCGCGTTGAATGAGCAGTTACCTGTGGTGGCACTGGGATTGCCTGAGAGACGTAGGCTTGGGCTATGCAAGCTCTGATCCACCTTTCTATGGTAGAAGATGATACCTTCTTCCCCATAGTTGATGGTTGGAAGGAAACAAATAGAGTTTCCGTCTTACGGAAAGACGAAGTGCGCTTTACGTAGTAACACAACGCTCTACGCACATCCAGCTTGTGCCATCTGTGTTCTAGCCTATGTCTGGGATTCGGACAGAAATCAGGAAGGGTCAGTTCTTGAGATCTGTGGAAGATGCTGTTTACCTTCGGAATGAATGCAGGGTCCGGTCTGCGGACCACCTTGTCCTTGAAGAAGGTACAGAGATCCTTCCTGACTGATAATGCTGCTAGTTCCGAGATTCTTCTCGCTGAAGTGATAGCCACTAGAAAGGCTACCTTTAATGATAGGTGATGGAGAGAGCATGAGTCGAGAGGCTCAAAAGGTGCTGATGTCAAGGCTTGAAGAACTTTAGACAAGTTCCAAGAAGGATATCTGTGTATAACAGGAGGCTTAGTATTGACTGCTCCCTTTAAAAAGGCACTAATCGCCGGATGTTGCGACAGAGAAGTTGAATTGTCACAGGAAAGGACGGTTGAGAGGGCTGCTACCTGTCTACGAATGGTATTGACTGATAGGCCCTTATTAAGACCTTCTAATAGGTAGTCTAAGATATTGGGAATAGTCACCGAAATTGGATCTAGGTGATGTAGAGAGCACCACCTGCAGAACCCCCTCCATGTAGCGTCGTAGATCCTGTTTGTTGAAGGTCGTCTCGATGCTTGAATGATCGATATCACCCCCGAGGAATAGGATTGCATGGCTAAACTCTGCCGCTCAAATGCCAAGCGGCTAGTTGTAGCCATTGAGGGTCTGGATGTAGAAGCTTGCCCTGACTGAGTCTTACTCGGTCCGGGGGAATCTTCCACGGGGGTGATATTGAGAGATCCACAAGGTCGGCAAACCACGGACGCCGTGGCCAGTGTGGAGCAATCAAGAGTACTTCTGCACCTTCCAGGATCAACTTGCATATGGTTGCCGGTATTAATGGGAGTGGTAGAAAGGCATACAGGGGTTGCGCCGGCCACCGACACCTGAGAGCATCCGTTCCCTCCAATCCCGGAGTCGGGAATCTGGAGAAGAACCTGGGTAGTTGCGTGTTCTTCGGAGTGGCAAATAGGTCCAGGTGCGGTCGCCCGAACCTCCGGGAGATTTCCTCGAACAGAGCTGGATCCAGACGCCATTCCGACTGATCCACCTTGGCTCTGCTCAGGGAGTCTGCCTGGAGATTTGCCTCCCCTGAGATGTGTTCCGCTCTGATGGAACCCAATTTTGCTTCCGCCCACCGAGCCAGAGCTGATGCCTCCTGCATCAGTTCCACGGATCGTGTTCCTCCCTTCTTGTTGACATGGGCCTTTGCTGCTACATTGTCGGTTAGAACGAGAACGTGCCTTCCCGTTACTAGGTGGGAGAATTGACTTAGAGCCAGGTGAATGGCCCGAAGTTCCAGCCAACTGATGCTGTGAGTGAGGTCCAACTGATTCCACTGGCCCTGCGCTATCTGAGTTCCCAGATGGGCTCCCCATTCAAATAGACTCGCATCTGTCGTGAGCGTGACCCGGTTCGGTTCCCTGAATATGCTTCCCCTGAGCATCATGGGCGATATCCACCAATTCAGTGATCTCAGTAAGTGATTTGGTACCAAGACCCTCCTGCTGGAGGTACTGAGGTTCCTCCTCTGATAAGGGAGGAGGAACCACTGCAACTCCCTTGAGTGGAGTCTTGCCCATGGAACAATGCCCATGCAAGATATCATTTTCCCCAGGAGCTTCGAGAGCTGTATCAAAGGTACTCTCTTGTCTCTCTGAAGCTGATGAACCAGCTTCGAGATGCTGCTTCGACGCTCCTGGGAAAGGTATACCCTGCACTGGGATGAGTCTATCATCGCTCCCAGATGCTGGAGCTTCTTTGCGGGAGTGAGATGGCTCTTTTCTAGATTGACTGAGAATCCGTGATCCTGTAGAATGCGGATTGTGGTCTGAAGGTCTAATTTTGCTTGCTCTTGCGAGCTGGACTGAATCAAAATGTCATCCAGATAAAACTGAACACGCACCGGCATCAACCTGAGATGGGCCGCTATTACTGCTAGAATTTTGGTAAATACCCTTGGGGCTGAGGAGAGTCCGAAGGGTAGAGCCCTGTACTGGTAATGCCGGTGTGCGTAGGTAAATCTGAGGAATTTGCGGTATTTGGGATGGATGGGAATATGCAGGTACGCCTCCGTGAGATCTAATGAGGATAGGAGGTCGCCCTTCCTGACACTGGCTAGGATGGATTTTAGGGACTGCATTTTGAACCTCCTGTAGGTTACATAATAATTCAGGCCTTTTAGATCCAGTATCGCTCTCCACCCTCCTGATGTCTTTGGGATCACAAAGAGGATGGAGTAGAATCCTCTTCCTTCCTCTTCCTTTGGTACCCTTTCTATGGCCTGAATTGACAAGAGGTGTGCAATGGCCGAGGTTACCAACCTTGCCTTGTGTGTCTTTCTGGGAATGGGGCATCTGATGAATGGGTTTGGTGTGGGAGAGCAAAAATCTAAGGTCAGGCCATGCCTGATTGTTTCCAATACCCAGGCATCGGTAGTGGTCTGCTCCCAGACCTCAATGAAATTCCCTAACCGACCTCCTATGGGAGTGTCCTGCATGGCGTCACTTGGAGCGTTTAAAGGGTCGGCCTCCCGATCCTCTAAAGGGACGCCTGGATTGGAATTGGCCTCTGGCTCCCATGTTTGGGCGATCCTGGGAACGATCCTGTCTTGAATAGAAGGATCGTGAGCCTCTAGACCAGTCCCACGATTGCCCAGATCGAAAGGGTTGTCTCCAGTTCCAGGAGTTGCCTGGGCGGAAACCTTGTCTCCGGAATTCCTGAGTACCTCTCCTGTCTAATTTCTTTGATGGGTGGACTAGAATTTCCCTTTTGTCCCTACTCTCACTTACATGTGGATCCAAAATGGATCCAAACAAGAGTGACCCACTGTACTTGGAGGTCGATAGACGCCACTTGGCCTTTAGGTCTGTCTTCCAATTTTTGAGCCACAGTAATCTGCAAGAGGCTACTGTGGCCGCAATTGATCTTGCTGCATACTTGGTTGCGTGAAGTGAGGCGTCAGCCATAAATTGTGAGGCAGCCAGTATCTTGGCCAAAGTTTGGTGAGTTCTGACCTGATCTGGAGGTACAGTGGTTTGTAGCTCGCGAAGCCACATAATACAGGCCCTGGCGAAGAACGACGATGATGTTGCCGCCTTGGCCGCCCAGGCTGCGGCCATGTGGGAACGATGGAGGGAGTGCTCAAATTTCTTTTCCTCTGGTTTCAAGGCCTCCGCCATGTCTCCTGGAATCGCAGAAGTAGAGAATAATGAAATCAGGGGACTATCTACTATGGGACATCTAGCATGTCCGAAAAGGAAGGAGACACATTGAATAGCTTCCTTTCCACGCTGTTAGGTGCAGGTGGCGTTGCTAGGGAAACCCATTGCTCCTCTACAGAGGTGCGAAAAACCTCAGGACAAGGAATGTACTTGTCCTGTGGTACTTTTTTTAGCAAAGAGGGGGTTTGCCTCCTTGCTTGTGGAAGGATTTTCCTCCTGAACTGAGGTCAAATTGACCGTAGAGACTGCCTTTATCAAAAGTGATTTAAGAAGAGCTGGATCAAAGAGGCCAGAGCTTGTCGTCTGCTCAGGAGCGGTCCCCTCATCCTCCGAAAGGGGCATGTCAGTCATGTCTAGGTCTAGTGATTCTCCCTCTCCTATTTGAGAGGAAGTTTCAGAAATGTTTGTAGCCGGAGCCTTGTTTCGTCCCTTAAGGGATGGTTGAAAGGCTACTTGGCCCTTAGAAGCCATAAACTGGGAAAAGGCATCCTGCATGAATGCCTGAAATTGGGCAGACCATATGTCCTCCTGAGCTCTGTCCATGGACGCAGCTACAATAGGAGTATGGTCTGGTGAGGAGGCAGGTGAAGAGGAGTGGGAGGAATCCAACTGTTCGGTTTCCCCCAGAGGAGACCAAGTTCTGAGGACTTCCTGGGGAGTAGGTTCTGTAGTAGGGGCCACCAATGGGGCAGGGGAAACCATGCTTGTCCCATTGGAACTAGTTTTCTGGGCCCTGGCAAACTGTCTTTCTGGAGCCAAATGTCTCCTTGAGGCCTCTCGCTCAGCTGTTTTGGATGGTCCCCTTTGGGTAAGGTGCTTTGTTTTAGCTTTCTTCTCCCCCCCCCACCTCAGATTCTGAGGATCTGCGTTTTTGTTGTTGTGGGGGGGGGGCAATTGGGGACCCTGCATAGCTGAATGCGAGACATTGTCTGCCATTGTGGCCAGGTATCCCAAGTAGGCAATACCTGGAGTGGGGAATAAATTGTACGCAGATCGGTTGCAGATAATTGAAGCCTACAAGGCTTATTCTGCACAGAAGAAAAAACAATGGCCGGACAGACAGGTCCCTTTGCAAGGACCCTGTGGGGCAGTGACTAAAGGTCACCTTGAAGAACAGTGGAGCAATTCCAATTTTTCTCCCTCTCCTTCACCAAGGGTGATTGCAATGGCCCGGATTAGAAGACAAATCGTTTGCTGGCGTTGTGAGTATGTATTCCCCAATATGTGGCTGTAAAGACAGTCCACAGGGTGTGCTTATAAACTCTTTTTCGCTCTTTCTACCTCTCCCTCTCTCTCTCTGTCCCTCTCTCCTTGTGAAAAACCTCCAAGTATATGAGCCACCTAAGATGGAGGCTATAAGAAATACACCCAAAATGGAGTCTAGGTGAAGGCCACGCCTTCCTGCTAACTGCCAAGGAGAACTACGAGGTTCAAAATGGCGAGTTTGGCTCCAACGGTCGCTCCGTCGGCTGAGGAGGCTTTGGAGGTGGCAGAAGTTAGGCGTGAAAAAACCTCTCACAAGCCCTCCGGAACGGACCGCGGCTTTCCCAGGCGATCTGGCGTGCCGCGGGTTGAAAAGAAAAAAAAACGGCCGTTAACCAAGGGAAGAGTTGCCGTTTGCTGGCAACCTTGCTTTTAGTCCTGGGCGCCGCGGCTCTAACTGGCCCTGGGGGCTTCGAATCTTGCGCGCCCCAGCTGATCTGGGAGATAAAGGGCAGCCGGCGCTCCCTAATGCCTCCGGTGCTTCTTGCAGCTTCTCTCAGGTTTTTTTTTTTTTTTTTTGATACTCTCACCACTCCTCGGAGCGACGCCCTCAGGGAACGGCGATCTGTCGGCTGCTCGGAGCCCCGAGCCAAAGGCTGAGAGAAAACGACTCACTGTGAGTTTTCTAATTAGATTGTAAATTTGGCAGAGAGAGAAGAGGGTTTTAGGCCTAATTGTAAAAATTTTTGTCAGGAGCTAAGATTCTAGCTGCTAACGGGCTTCAAGGCTGAGTCAAACTGGAGTCACGCCCAAAGGAAGGGTGTGGCCAAAGTTTTTACCCAGTCTGTCGGGCGGGAAGGCTGTCATAGAACCCATCCAGTGGACTCTACAGCCATCCTGCTGGAGAACTGAAAATCGCATTCCCATATCCTGCTTAATCATTGCAATGATTCATTCACTGCCTTCAAAAAAGCAGAGATGGGGGAGAACAGGTAGGTGCAGGCAAGTGCAGCAAGGAAGGAGAAGTGTGAGGTCCTAGCCTAATGACTGCACAGTCCAAAACTGCAATTGGGATTGTTGAAATTGCAATTGCTAAGTAGTCTGGTCATGTAATTGCTCCACAACAGAAATCCCAGTCCCTCTTAGGGTCATGAAGCACAGACTACTTTGCACATATTCTAAAAGATAGCTTTCTTAATGTTACAACTCCAAAACCGTAAGAAATGTATAAACAATAGTAAGTCTATATAACTAAAATGGTTATGTATTAGTTATTCTTAAATGGCACAATTCATTTTAACTTTCTTAACTCATTTAGATTAGCGTTACTTTCTACAGATTTTAGACTAATTTTATAACTATACCAGACAATCTGTGCTCCCATATTATTTCAGAGGTATTTCCTTATTTAAATAGAGAAACAGAATGACCAAAAGTAGAGAAAAATGAGTGGGAGAAGGAGCAACTTCTGAATAGGTGCCAGTTTTCCCATTGAGTTTCTTATGCAGACTGGCAGAGAGCATTCTTTCCTTTCCAGCAGGCAAAGAAATGGTTGCTGTTGCATGGGAGAGGAAACAAGGGATTGCAAGACTGGCTAGGAAACTGTCACAGAACTTTGAAAATAAAAATTATGTAACCATAGCAGTAGCCAAATAGCACTGAAGCAGCCATAACTTTCTCAAATTTCATTCCCTTGGACATTCTGTAACCTAGCCTATTTAAGGTACATTGGTTCAAAAATTGTTTTCCTATGATGCACAGTTTCACACAGTTAAAGAATACTGGAATGAGAATTTTAATATTATATAAATATGCTATATGGTACCTATATTGCTTTCATTTTATAATATTATATGGTAGTTACGTATTGCAGGGTTCCCAGTCCTGGGCTATGAACCAGCAGCAGTCCATGACGCACCAGAAACTGGGCCATGCAAACGAGTGAAGCCCCATCCACGCATGCATGGAATGCAGTCAGTGTGTGAAACCATGGTCCTTCCAGTCCTCAGAAAAACCTCCATGGAACTGGTCCATGGTTCTGAAAAGATTGGGGGCCACTGATTTATTGTACATATATTTTCAATATCTTTTTGACATGCACTGGACTTTTCTGTTGCTCTAGCTTTGAAATGATTAACTTATTATATGATGAATCATAAACCACTTTGGAAGATTACTTTTTCTATTAATAAGTAGCTATGTGTTAGGAATGAAGTGCATGAAGATGAGATATGCCAAGTGAAAAAGTTTTAGGAAAGCAAAGGAAAAGAATAAGATTTCTTCCAGTGGCTTGCTCTGCTGAGAAAATAGAGGAACTTCCCTAATGTATATTATTTTATTGCAAACATGGATATTATTGCAGTTCCATCAAAATTAATCCTGCAACATTTTTCTATGTTTTGTTACAATAAGAAATAGTAAGGGGAGGCCTCCTGGATTCATTTCAGCACTAGCTAATACATGCCATTGACCTCTGCAATTTTTATGTGTTAACACAGAGGCATCCAACCTTTCTCGGTTGGCGGACGGGAGGGAAAGGAAGGGGGAAGCATTTTATGTGCATGCACACAAATGGGGCCACGAGCACGTGCGACGCAAACGGGGTGGTACTAGTGCCCGCATGACACTCACTAGTACCACTGTTTTTGCTGCAGGGTGCCCTGTTTGCCTAGCAGCGGTGGTGCTAGCACAAGTGTAGGTAAGTGTGTGCACACAGTATTGGGCCGCGGCCCACAGGTTGGGGAACCCTGTGTTAACATTTTCCACATCCCATGTTCCATCAAGACTCACCTCCGGAGAATGTATGTCTCTTGCCATAAGAGACAGAACTTCTTGTACAACAGGGTCTCTGAGACTAAATCCAAATTGCTTAATATCTGGACAGGAAAAAAAAGTTATCAGAAATAAAATCATTGCAAGCAGTTCTTGATCAATGAAATTAGAGATTTTACTAAAACAGATATATGGATGTTTAATCCTTAAATTCAACTGAGTCTAATTAACTATTATTTTGTGGCTATAGATTTGTTGTAAATCACAAAGGCAGGAAAATGTACACACTATATGAAAGTTAAGCTAAAGAGAGAGTGACAGATATGTTGTTTTGATCAGCAGTGACATTATTAAACATCCAATCTGACTAGATCTTTTTTCCTACAATGGGATCTGTCACTGGGGATTGCTAAGAAATTTTACAAACTGCACTAGCAAGTTTGCAATCTAAACAATAAAATTCCAGTCTCATAGAATGAGGCACCATGATAAAAGTTTTCCTGATTCAAGTTGGCAACATCACAATGTGGCTCTGAACTAAAGGCATATTCAAATTTTACTGATGCTCAGAGCAAATCTGCCTAATATTGGTTCTTCTGACTAAATTGGGAAGATGACTTGCTTATAACATAGGGAACAGGAAAATAAGTATAATTAACCTTTCCAGATCCAGGGAATCAATTCCAAACAATCACCAGTGTCCAGTGCCTGAAGAAGCAACAGCATTGTTCTAATATTTGGGTAAAATGCCTGAGGAAAAAAATGCAAAATTCTCGATAATCACAGTTTTAAATGTTAAAATTTTAAAGTCACAAAACACAAATTAACAAATAATACTTACTGATGGAACCAGTTCTTTATACCACTTCAACAAAACATCAAGGTGTTCCATTATAGACAACAATTCAAAAAATGACATACTATAGCAAAGAAAGAATCAGTTATTAAAACCCTATTAACTTCAACATGAAAAAGATTACCATGTAATTTTTCTTTATGTTCTCACTTCTCAAACAGCTGTAAATAACTTAAAATAAAATCTTAATGTTATGAATCTCAAAGAAAATGCAGGAACTAATATAAATTGCCTAGCTTTACCTAACAAAATTAAAATCAACTGCTGGTAAAACTTCACTTATAAATTTGGAATTAGATCACTGTTTACTTCTTTCTAGGTGTTGTTATTGTAGCCATTCTAATCTAAGCAGTTTTAAGCTTATGCATGTCTGTTTCTAGATCTGATCTTGTAAGGCTGACGTGATCAGGGCTTTCTCTCTGCTCCAGTATTATTTCCTGATGGAGAAGCAAGATCTGCAACTTTAGGGTTCTCCTGGACTCATGGCTCTTTTGGGATAGAAGGACCTTCTACAGTTAATGATGTCCTCATCACTTCTTCTAACTACTGTAACATGCTGTCTTTAAATCTGCCTTTAAAAAGCACTTCGAAGCAGCAGATGATCAAAATGCAGCAGCTTTTGTGCTTATTGATTTTGGAAGCACATTATACCTTCCTAGGGCCCTGTACTGGCTACCAATAAACTTCTGGATGTAATTTAAAGTTTGGTTTTAACCTACAAGGCTCTCCATGGTTTGATACCAGGTGCCTTTCAAAACCTTATTTGTCACCTAGAATCTGCCTGCCCTGCACAATTGTTCCAAGAAAAGTATCATATAGTACCTCCCTGTGGAAAGTTTGTTTATGACTACCAGTGATTTCTATAATTATGAATTCTAAATAACAATTACTAATAAAAGTTCTTCTGTGTCGTATCTCCCAACATTATCCTGTTGTCTGCTTTCTCCAACACTCTATGTAGCCGATAAGCAAGTTGAACATCCTTCAGTTCCAGACACTGCAATAAAGGTACAAAATATTAATCCTTGAATCCAAGCAATAGCAGTTATTCTGCTACACAGAGTGTCATTTTAGCAAGAAGCACAAAATCCCAATTCATTTTATAAAGGGTTACAAATTAATAAAATATCTTTAGGATAAGGGGCAGGTGCCAGTTAAGATAAAGTGCAAAGCAGGGCTGATTTTTGATATCTTATTTTCTAGATCAGCAGAATAGCAAAGTTTTGATGGTCTCACATTGGATTCTAAGATTATTCCACAAATTTTCTCTAAGATTTTACTACAGAGAGCATACACTATTTTAAAAACTGCTTTTAAATCTAGCTAATACATAGCCAGAAAATTACTGAAATATATATTTACATTTAAACAAGTGTGAATGTGTATCTACCTCAATATACAGAAATCAAGTCCACTTACTGTTTTCATCGCTCTTGGAAAGAAGTGGACTGGAAAAGAAGGAGTAGTGATTATTAATTTGGGGCATTCTCTAGCAATCCAAAAAAGAGTTTCTTAGGATTACTGAAACAAATTCAAAGGACTCAATAACAATTCAACAAATGTATCAAGTCAAAGAATTCTAGCATATTGCTTCTCAAACCAACATACCATTTAAAGCCATAATGACATAATATTTAAATATTTAAGGCTTTGACCACAGAATACAAGTAACTATACCCTAATCAATTGTTGAGAACACTGAATACTAAAACTATGTTAACATATTACATTTCTTCATGCTTGATTAAACCCTTCTGTACTGTATTAACTACAACTAACTGATTTGTGTATGTTAAGTCTGATTAAGGTAAACTATAGTCATAAAACATCACATTCAAATTCCTCAAACAGACTAAGCTTAAATCAAACAAGCACAGTATGGCTAAGCACATAAACTCAGCCTTACCCTAAAGATACATGAGGTATGCTGAGGCATTCAGCAACAGGAGTTATCTTCCTATTGCCCAGAAAGCCAGGAATGATGTGCTGCTAGACCCCTCCCAAATTGCAATCTAGGGCTGAACCACTGAAGCCCAAAGGAAAAAAAACCAAAAGAGAACTAGTACAAGTTGGAACATGGAGAAGAAAATGTCAGCACATTTATGGTTCTGAAAAGAACTATTTATAGTCTGATTAGAGAAAGGATGAATAACTTTAAAGGTGTTCTTTCTCTAGAAATTTCTGAAGCTCATGCATGTGGATTTTGGAGATACTTCAGTATGGTTTGACCCAGTGGTGGGATTTAGCTGGTACGCACCAGTTTGGTAGAACTAGCTGCTAATGTTTTGACTTTGGTGAATCGGCTGATGGCCTAACCCTTTTCCACAAGGCCCAGAACGGACTTCCAGAAGTGGCGTCCATGCAGAGAACTGGTTGTTCAGGTATTTGAATCCCACCACTGGTTTGACCATATTAATAAGCACAGTATGAATGCTTGTACCATAGGTACAATCTGAATTGGCCTTCTTTTTTATTCAAAACAGAGGTCTGAAATTTTGTCTTCAAACTAAGAAACTTTTCTTTCAAACTCAAAAATAAGGGAAGAGCCATTCTTTATTTTTTTAAAAAAAAATATGGGTGACAAAAGGCATTTTAGAATGAAATTTGAGTTGAACCATAGGGCTTTATCATAAGTGAAAATATTAAAATAGTGGTTTTGTACCACAAGGAACAAAATGATTAGATTATCTGGCCACATCAAGGACTAGTTCATTATTTGATACTTCTTTCTTATAATTGGAGGATTCATTGTTTAACATCCTAGCTTTTTTTCAAAAACTTCTAGGAGACATAAACAACAAATATTGTTGTACATTACTGACACAATTGATTTACATATTAATTATTTAGAATAGAAACAAATACCAAGAAACATTGCTATTTATTAGCTAACTCTCATACAGTTCAAAAATTACTTTTGTCATACATTAGTCATGCCCTATGCAAAACTGCCATGAAATAAAAGAAGTACATACTATCATCTGGATCCTGAGGACAAAAAGTTTTTCTTTCAATTTCATTTATTATAGCATATAGCACATGGGATTGGGATTCAGCAAATCCAGCTGTACAACAAAAAGCAGAATTAAGAGTTAAGTTTTTATTGAACTAGTGTTATAATTAAAAGGCAGGTAAAATATTTTTTTTTATGAAAATGAGATTGGACTATGAAGTCAGGTGCAACAGATAAATTAAATGGCAAATTATAAGCAGATTATTAGAAAGTTTCCATAATAATTTTGCTTATGATTGTTCCTCATAATTGAAGAGACTAGTTGTGCTTCATATCACTGCAAAATCTGACTAGTTATTATGACTCAAGGTACTGAGGCTTTAAAACAACAAACTAGTACATTAAAATCAGGTATGGAAGTGCAAATCGACTTAATTGTCCTGATTGTCTCTGAATCTCTCAAAGACTTTCAGAACCATGCATCATAAATTTCTGCTAAATATAATGTAATTAAAAAGAGTCTCAATATTTCAACATTTTATTTTAGAGTTTAGTATGAAAAAATCCACACATTCAGAGCAAATCTGGAGCAAATTCTATTCAGCAAAAGCCAGGAAAGATATTATTCCAACAGAATTTTATACAAATTCATAAGACTATAAAAACAGACACTACATACCAATGTTATGTGACATGCACAGCAAGTGGTAATATGTTGCAAGGCTAGGTTCTGAAATAAATATATAACAAATCAAAGCTGAACATGATTGACATACAAAAATATATTACACTGTATTAGGTGTATGTAACATTTCATATCAGGGATAATATCTGAGTTAATGACTTGATATAATTTAAAAGTAAAATTGATTATTTTTCATATTGTAATGTTCCCTCTCTCCCTTAAAGTTATAATGGAGGCAATCTTTGAGAGCTCCTGGGGGACCATATTGAAGATGCTGGTGTGTAGGGGGAAGATGGGGTGTGTGGTCTCAAGTTATAATTTATATTTGGTTACATTTTTATGTTGCTTTATTTTCTATCCTTTCTGTGATACTGCTTTTAAGGTACTGTATTTAACAGAATAACAGAATAGAAAAAGAGTTGGAAGGGACCTTGGAGGTCTTCTAGTCCAACCCCCTGCTCAGGCAGGAAATCCTATAATATTTCAGACAAATGGTTGTCCAATCTCTTCTTAAAAACTTCCAGTATTGGACATCCATAACTTCTGGAGGCAGGTTGTTCCACCGATTAATTGTTCTGTTTCTTCTTAGTTCTAGATTGCTTCTCTCCCTGATTAGTTTCCATCCATTGCTTCTTGCCTTGCCTTCAGGTGCTTTGGAGAATAGCTTGACTCCCTCTTCTTTATGGCAACCCCTGAGATATTGGAACACTGCTATCATGTTACCCCATGTCCTTCTCTTCATTAAACTATACATACCAAATTCCGCCAACTGTACTTTATATGTTTTAGTTTCCAGTCCCCTAATCACCTTTGTTGCTTTTTCTCTGCATTCTTTCTAGAGTCTCAATATATTTTTGTATGCCTTTTAAAAGGAATTTTACTGAAGTTTATTATTATTATTAGTTAAACAATAACTTTGCAGGTCAAAATGGATGAATTTCAAAATATAATCCTAGTTACAGAAATATTACTACTAAGGTTTAATACAGAAAAGGAGTATTGGATTAATCTTACAGATTGCATAAAAATTCTTACCTATATTTAGTGCTCTCATCTCATTCAAGATCAATCTAGCTTTAGCCCGGGGTACCTTACCACACTGCTTCAATGCTTTCAGGACAGAATTAAAGGTTAGTAAATTTGGTTGTATATCCTGTTCAGCCATTTGCCTCAGCACGTCCTATTAACCAAAATATCAAGAATTTGATTTAACTTTTATGTAAAAATAATGTTCCCATTCCTTCAAATTGTGTATTTATATCTTGTCCCCCTACACAAATCCTTAGCATTTACACGTATATTTGTTTAATGTCATTCTAGAATACTATCAACCATATCCTTCTATAATTACACTGATCATTTAAAATGTATTATTATAAAGATAAAAGATAAATCTGGCATAGAACGTAAAATTGATAAAATGGGCAAATCCCCCCAATAGTAAATATAGCACAAAATTAACACTCATAATTAGTTAAATAAGTGTTAAAAATACTACTCCCCAAGAAAGTTGTCTGCCCACAGTTGAAGGGAAAATAATGTAGACACTGGGTAAACCTGAGGAAGTGCTCCTCAGAAGTAGGAAAGGCCCTTTTTCTTGTAACTAGTTTCCTTGTGTCATTTGGAAATTACTTGGAAATCGAATTTCATTAATTGTATTGCTTTAAATGAGCTTTTTCAAGATGTAGTTTTGAATAAGATTTCCAGAGTTTTTAGGTTCACTGAACTTAACAATTGTAAAACACGTTTTTTCTGCCTTGGGGCAAGTTGATTATTAATCAAGATCTGCCATTATCACTAATTTTTTTGAGAAAAAAAACCCCACCTAATAAGAGCTAATTAATAACAAAATATAAGTGCTTTATCAAAGTTAAATACAGTAACACTGAGTTTTTTGCAACAACGTATCTGTTTATAGCATCCTCAACATCTGCCACTCAATTAGAGCCCTTTTCTAGTCTCAAAAATAAGCCTTTCAACTGACCCTCCCCCTAAGTCTCAATTTGTTTCTAATATATAGTGAAGTAATTTAACTTATATACCACCATGAGCCATTTTTATAAGTTGGGTGCTCAATAAATTTTATTTATTTAGACATAAATGCAATGAGAACGATGTCATTAGATTTCATGCTGGGTTTGACTTGATGTATTCTGTAGTTTTATGCCAGATAATATATTTGTTTCTTTGTTTCTACAAGTAAATTATAAGATAAAACTGGGTCTTGGGGAGATAAAAAACGTCATGAATACACATACTTCTCCTTCTCACATGCATTGAATGCAAATGCCACATACTGAAATTTATGTCATTATATTTGTACTGATCATTATATAAAAGAAGTTACTCTGTCTCACCGATGAGGACATATTATTAAAACCTTTGAACTGATTAAACAGAATTTAGGTATATAACCATAGAATATTAGAAAATGAGCAAATGTGGATGATACCTATCGTATATGCCGGTGTACAAGGTGACCCGGCGTATAAGACGACCCCCGTCTTTATCGCTGAGCCGCATTCCTAGAACGTCGTCTTATACGCCGGAAACTACCAGTATTTCCGCCGTATAAGACGACTCGGCATATAAGACGACCCCTGTCTTTGGCGCCAATTTTAGCGCTCGCGGAAGTCGCCTTATACGCCAGCATATACGGTAACTATAAAAGTGCATTAATAATAAATTATAATAAAACAATATGATTTAACTTTAGCTACATATTTACTATGGAAAAGTTCAAATCAACAGTTTCTCCTTACTTCAATACATGCCCATTTCTCAATGTATTTTTCCTTAACTTCTACAGCTGCTAAAATAAGTGCATTGAAGATGCTCACATCAGCTGAAACAAACAGAAAGTCAGTTATACCATAAGAAATAGCATGTATATTGTTTGTATTATGGTTGAAACAGTCAGTATTTCGTTATATTATGGTTGAAGCAGCTCAGTATAAGGCGAAATTCTCATGTGAGCCAGGTCCCAGAAAGCCAGCCACTTGCCAGCAATGGTGGTACACAGATAACTCACACTCAGCCCCCATGATTCAGCTGAGGTCCGTACCCCTGCGCCATTCATCATTGCTGCAAACAAATGCTCCAATAATCAGAAATCCAGTATTATATCTAGGGAGGGAAGACATGTATTAAGACCACAAGCAGCATTGCCATGTTATCAGTTATATCTCTCCCCTCTCTTCTTACTTAAAGAATGGCCACTTATTTGTCAAATTTATAGAGATGCTCATCTCACACACAGTGGCAATAAAACCTCCTGTTGAAACAACCAATTAAAACAATGAACATAGATTAAAAAAAACCATAAGCGGGAGAATATTATATATAACACAGCCAACACATTCCCAGGTATCCCCAACGCTGAAAAAAAAAAATCAAGCTACATTTTAAGGGATTTCTGAAAGGCTATGAGGGTGGGGGCTAGCATCATCTCATGTTGTGCAGAGGGTTTCAGCAGAAAAAGCTCAACTTTTAAGTCCCATCAAATGGAATACTTTCCCAGATGGGACCCACAACATTCCTCTCCTTCCAGATGGCATGGGTAGATGTAAATGGGAAGGGGAAATCCCTCAGATAATCTGACCCATGCCATGTAGGGCTCAAAACCAGCACCTTATACTGGACCTGAAAATAAACTGGTAGCCAAAGCAGCTGATGAAGCAGAGGTGTAACATATGTCCTCTTAGGGATCAATACAATTGCCCACACCACTCCATTTTGTACTGGCTGACGCTGCTGGTTATCCTTCAACAGCAACCCCATGTACAGTGCATTATAATAGTCTATGCAAAGGTGACCAGGGAAAGGTAACTGTGACAAAAGCCTCATGGTTCAGAAATGGACACAACTGGCATGCAATACAAAAGTGCAAAAGTCCTCTTGGCTCATCCTTAGTGGCAGATGATCTCTCTCACTGGTTTCATATAAATATTAAATAAAAACAGGGAAAGAATCAAACTTTGCAGCAGCACATAAAGTAGAGGCCAAAGGCAGAATCTGTCACTCCCAATCAGCACCAACTAGCATTGGCTTTTGAGGAAGGAAGAAAACTAACACAATACTATGCTGCCCACTCTCAATCCCCAAAGTTGATTCAGAAAGATACCTTGGTCAATGTTAATGAAAGCTATTGAGGGTCAAGCATAGTCAGGATGGATGCATTATTCCTACCCTGTTCTCCCCAAAAGGTTATTCAAATAAACAAAACCAACGTTGTTTCCTTTCCACCTCCAGGTCTGAATCCTGACTCAAAGAGGTCCAGATAATATGCTTCATTCAAGGTCTGCTTAAACTTTCCCTAAAAAAGAAAGATAGTTACACAGCAGCTTCAGCACACCCTGAATGAAACAGATTATCTGGAAATCTTTGAGATCCAGCCATGGTTTCTTGAGGGGGCAAACCAATGTCTCTTTAAAAGACAAAAGAATCGCCCCTTTCCTCAAAAATGAATTAATCATTGTCAGAACCCAGCCACATGCCTCCTTCAAGGCAACTTCAGCAAGCCAGAAGCGGTATGCATATAAGGAGCAGATAGCCAAACTCATAGTCATAAAGATCCTATCTGCTTCCTCAGGCCCAACAAGTTCAAACTACTTTCAGTAAACAGGGCAAGATTGTGCCCCAGACACCTCCACCAGACCTGCACCAGACCTGATATCTAACGGAGAATGAATTTCAGCAATTTTGCTTAACAGATGCTCTGAAAATTTTTCTGCTTGGCCTTGAAGATAAAAGTTCAGGTTACTGTTGCCTGGAAGATCTTGTGTCATCTGAAACAAAACTGCTGGATGGCAATTTGCAGACACAATACGGCAGAGAAATATTATTGCTTTGCTGGTCTTTTTGCCACAAGATAGGCCTAAACAGCAGATTGACCTGTGTTGGTGAAGTTCATTCTTTGTTGACCTTCAGTGACTCTCCAGGTATTTCTTCTCCCATTCACTTTCCTCAGCTCCTTTGTAAATCATAGACAGAAATAGGATGCCCAGAATGGGAGAGATTGGATAGGATCTACATCATCCTATCCTCATCCACATCCACCATCCTCTCATTCCAAACAGCAACTAAGACATGCAGCAGACCCTCAGGAACAAACCCCTAGTTCCCTCTGGAATCCTTCAGGTTCATTAGTTGCCAGTATCTTTTTGTTACCACTGCTGACAAGACATGGCTAGCCTGGCTCTTTGCAAGGTAGCTACTGACCAATGAAGCCTTCTTCCCAAGGTCTTGAGGAAAACAGAGGTGGCGCGCAGGATGGTGGGGCCAGGAGTGTAGGGGCTCAAAAGAGCAGAGAAGGGGGGAAATAGAGTAGGTGGTGTGGAAATGCACATAACTTTGTGACTGAGCCTAAATTCCATTGTTCAGCATTATCGTAACTTCAAACAATTGTTCAATAAATGGTCATTAAATGAGGACTATCTGTATTATCTGTGTTATCATTTTCATACAGCATCTATCATTTTCACACAAACCAAAGCTATAAAGCTACTTGCAAAGACTGCAGTAATTATACTGTGGACAGACCAATTCTGCATTGCACAGCTTATTTCTAGCTTTTCTCATTGGCACATTTTTTAATGCAATAGGTTCTAAAGCTTACCCTTAAGATTTTTATTCAACAAATCAGCGTACATGTTAAAAGCTTTTTGGCACTCCCCATGCTGTAATGACAAAAAATGTATAAGCTATTAATATATTGACCTGGAGGAAAAAAGAGAAGCAAAATTGTTAGAAAGATTACAATTGTACCTTCACCATTCCCCTTATCATTGTACAATAGGAATGTGCATTTTTTTCTGGCATTAGGTGAAATATTCTCTCAGCATTGTTGTTTTCCCTAGAATTGAGAAAAAAATAACATACTAATTGACAATAACAGATATTCTCTAATGTGTGATTATAAAATCTGTTCATGCTGTCTGCCTACTACATACTTACTATATATTTAAGCACAGCACATATGCAGGTTTTTTTCCCAAGATATAAACATACATTGCATTATACATCACTGTATTTTTGACAAACTGTGTATACAATATCCAATTTTGTAGCCATGTCTATTTTTTTATAACATTAGCATTATTTTTGTTACCACGTTTATACCTCACTTTTCTTCTGGGGGGTTTAACATAAAGCCAGTTTGATGTAGTGATCAAGATGCTGGCCTAGAAATCAGGAGCTTGAGAGTTCTAATCCCAGTTTAGGTATGAAAGCTGGCTGTGTGACTTTAGGCCAGTCACTCTCTGACAGCCCTTTCCACTTCACAGGGTTAATTGTGGGGAAAATAGGAAGAAGAAATATTTATAAAATAAAGGGGATAAAAATCTAATAAACATAATTAAATATTTTAAATCAGGGGTCTGCAAATTTTTAGTTCTGCGGATCTGTGGCAGTGACTTCGACAGCAGGGGAGGAAATACACATGCAACCTAAATCCTGTGCATGTGCATATGAAGCTTCATGTACTTGCCTGACACTTCAGTGGCCCGATTCCTAATGGGCTGTGGCCTGGGTCATGGTCCGCAGCCTGGGGTTTGGGGACCCATTTAAATAACTTGTCCAAAAATTTGCATATGCTCATAACCTGTAATGGTATATGGCAGGGGTCCCCAAATCCTGGGCTGTGGCCCACTACCGGACTGCAGCTATTTGAAATTGGGCCACGTGATGGGCAAGTCAAGTGCATGCAAAGTTCCAACCTCTGCTCAAAAACCCTCCACTCATGCAAGTGGAGCTTCGAGTGTGAGTGCCCTCTATTCACATACAAAGCTCTATCCACTTGCACCTATGGAGCTGTGCATGCATGCACCTGCCACTCACACGACCCCCCCATGCCTGGCTGGTCCACCAAGGTGGAAAGATTGAGGACCATTGGTATATAGGAAAGACCTTGAGAGACAGGGTACAGAGATGCTGCCTAGGGAACAATCATCTAACAGAGGGCATAGCCTGCAACCGGATAGTGAATGGAGCAAGTGGCTCAGCAGGTAGTCTCCCTAGTTTCTTGGGCTAAAAGGAGATGGTAGGAAATCTGTACTTTCATATTTGCAAGACTGATGTCAGTGAGACAGATGAGACAGGAAACACAATCAGTAAACTAGTTCTACTTTATTGTAAAGATTCATTAACTAAATCTTGCAAGTCTGAAAATACAAATCAATATGCTACAGTTATATTAAGATACTTTTATTATATAGTATTTATCTGTTTAATATATTTTTGAATAAGCTACTTAACATATAAGAAAAATCCTGACTTTCCAATTAAAATTCATGCAAATGTACCTCAAGGCATTGCTGCTAGTATATTCATACCTCCATGTAATTTGTTGGAAATTAGAAGAGTTCCTTGCACACTGCCTTCTTGATGGAGTTTCTTCCTGCATAAGAACTTCAAGTGTTAGCCTTCTAGCATGTGTACATCTATGCCTAACATAATTCTCTCTTAAATAGGTTGTTTAAAATGTCTTTATATAGAGAGAATTCATGTCCAAAGAATAGAATAGAATAGACACAGTTGGAAGGGACCCTATACCATTTCAGACAAATGGTTGTCCAATCTCTTCTTAAAAACTTCCAGTATTGGAGCATTCACAACTTTTCGATGCTATTTCTAATTCTCTATTTATACATTATAAAAAACTAGGACAACAGGGTAGGCACCTCCCTTTCACAGCAATTGGAAATATCCAAAGTACTGTTTGTGTTTTATACATAGTAAATATACCCTTATTCAAAATGCACCCATCCTTATTTACTTGTTTTTCTAAACTGCTATCATTCTCCTGATCCGGTTCTCTATCTCCATAAAAGCATAGAAGATCCAGAAGACTGTTCGAGGTCTCCAGAGATACACTTGTTCCTACAAATGCAAAAACCATGAACTGTAAATCACAGAAGTGGAATTAGCTGATGCAGAAATATATTAGCTGATGTATAAACATGAAATGTCACAACAAACAGAACAAGTAATCCTCCACTTACATTCGGTTGTTTAATGACCGATCGCAATTACAATGGCTTTGGAAGGCTGACATTTACCACTGTTTTCCTCTCCAGAGGAGAGAGCTGGGATTGTGGTTGCTGAGTGAGGCAGTCATGTCACATCTCACTTAACGCTTTGTTCAATAACTGAAATTCTGGATCTAATTGTGCTTGTAAGTGGAAGATTACCTGTAACAAGCAAAGCTTTGTACCAATGTAATAATATACATGTAACTGTCCTTATAGTATGCAGGTATAATTTTTTTTCTCAAAGGATTAAGTAAAAGAAAGCCTGGCAAATAAATTAAAGACAAATTAAATAAAGGACTTTATTTAAGCATATTTGTACGCTGTCCCAATCACAAGATAAACAAGAAAATACAGATCAAAATATACAGTCCTTGACTTACGAACAAAATTAAGCCCAAAATTTCTGTTCCTAAATGAGATAGTTGTTAAGTGAATTTTGCAACTTTTGCAACAAGAAAGTTGTAAAACATTTTGTTATTAAATGAATCACTGTAGTTGGTACCATGTTTCCCTGAAAATAAGCCCTAGCTTGATTTTTTGGAGGTGGACCTAATATAAGCCCTAGTTTTGGGGTGAGGTGCATGCCTAAAAATCAAGCTAGGGTGGGGGTGGAGCGTACCATTGCAGCCAGGCCTCCCTTGCCCCCAAACTAGGGCTTATTTTTGGGGTAGGGCTTATATTGGATGCACATGTAAAAATCAAGCCAGGGCTTATTTTCAGGTAAACATGGTACCTATAGAATAAACCAAGTAAATCTGTAATATTTCATACTGCCATATCATAAAACTAAATCAACGGTCAGTCACAATTGTTACATTTGACATACATACATTATACACATATATTATACAGTGTGTGTGAATGATGCATTCTTGACTACAGTAGTATGTCAACCAACTTATACTTCATGAAAAAAGTATGATTTTGTGATTGCCCTGCCATGTAGTATGCTCATAATCAAACTAGTAACATTGCCAAGACTGCTATTTTAAACAGTTTTAAATACTCCACAGTATATTAGCAAAGACTTAACTTAAGATACTCCCAGTGTACCAATAGTTTATATGTAAAAGAAAACCTGCTATGTTATGCTATTGTGTGTGTGTGTGGGGGGGGGAACTTGTTATCCGTTGCAGTGAACAAACAAGTAAAAAAAGCAAAATTACCTGAAGGTGCAAGGAAGAAAATAAATCAAAGGCGAACTGAAACACTTTCAAAATAAAATAAAGTTCAACAACTATGTCTCAAGAGTTTGTCACAAGTTTTGTGAATCACAACACAATGAGCCTATGGATAGGGCATAGGCCTATGTTCTGTCTTACATTCTAGCCATCTATTAATACCATAACACAATTATTTTAGAAAGACTGATCATTCTGTTGTAAAAATTGACACTATAGATGCAAGTAAAGGCCAAACTAAAAAGGCCCGAAACTAGTATACCAAAGATATGATATATCTGATGATCCAGTTGATAAAAATTGCAGTTTTATTATAGATTTTATATTTATATTTAAGCAGTAAATATTCTGAGGTTTTAAGTTCTGATTTTTATTGTAAGCAGCCTGAATTTTAAAAAGATGAGATATATGTGGAAGTAATATGGATGTAAATGTACACAAAATAATTCAAATTATTATATTTAATCAACTAATATGTTTTTTTACTAAACCAAATTATACAAGTGTCAGAACCAGCTGGATCATCTTGTCCTGTCTATTTTTTTTAGCATAAATATTTTGTATCTTCCACAAATGTGATGAAGTCTAATTAACTGCATATACTACAATAACCCTGCTGGTCTTTATGAACTTTAGTATAAATCCTCCAAAAAAAAAGTTTCTATTATTAAAATTGAATATAAAGATTTCAAAATAGCTTATATAAGCTATATAGCTTATATAATACCTATCATTATAATGGGTACTCTAATTTTATAAGCATTTACTAATGAGTTACATCTCATAAGTTAAATTTGGCAATTTAAATTAGGAGTTAAATTTTGGCAAATTTAAAACAGCTTATACCCACCCAAATCTGTTTATTGTAACTGCTGATTTAGGCTAGTACCTGCTTGTAGAAGCTGATCATACATATTCACAGATGCTTTTACTTTTCTTAGCTGAATTAGATTTTTTAATGCAATCTCACTCACTTCTTCAAGTTGTAACACCAACCTTTTTGGCATGAGACTCTAAAGGAAACAACACAATACAATTAGGATCAAATGTTCTACAACAGTGGTTCTCAACCTGTGGGTCGGGACCCCATTTGGGGTCAAACGACCATTTCACGGGGGTCGCCAAACATCGCAGTCCGCCATTTTCCCCCCCTTTTCCTTAGCTGTGCTACTCCCTTTTATTCTGCTGGCTTTTGAAAGCCAATAGAATAGACTCTCTTGAATAGAGTCTAATTCTATTGGCTTTCAAAAGCCAATAAGAATTCTCCAGGCTGTCTCTGCCCTGCTGAGCCCGCCAAAAGTCCCATTCTGCAAACGGTGCTGCACCAGTTGAGTAGTCCTCGACTTACGACCGGTTGAGTAGTCCTCGACTTACGACCGGTTGGGGGGGGGGTCACAGCATTAAAAAGGTTGGGAACCACTGTTCTACAAAGATATCATTGTGAATTTGGCCACTTGCAAGGAGATCGGTAAGTCTAAGTATTTTATAATTCTAAAATCTATTGTTCTTTTTAACTGAAAAGCAGGATGGGAACAGCAGCATGAAGTTCCTTCTTTCTTAATTTTGATGGATGCATGTTTTGAAAATAGCAACGATTGTAGGAACAAACTTCCTCACTGGGCCTGGGACTTAGGCTCTCTATCTTAAACTACCGGGATAATTGAAAACAGTAGGGGTGTATAAGCAGAAGTTTCAGTTTTCCAAAAGTATTAGTCATAAGCATTATCTATATACTATAGTGGTTTTAATTTTATATGTACTTTTTCCTTTCCCAGTGGAATGCCATGCCCCATACATAAAGAATATGTCATCATGGTGAAAATTAATTTGAATGTTGCCATTTCAAACATAACTAATAAGAATAAATTGAAAATTTACTAAATTTGATATTAAACCATTTTGTTCTTGAGTGACCTCTTTTCAGTTAGCAATCCTAATGTGCTCCACCACTACGGAATTCCAGTAAATCAAATGACCCCTAGCAATGACAGAATTCTGTGAATGACCAAACTCAGGTATAAATCCATGTTTAGATCTTTATTCTGGCAATAAAAACATTGAAGCAGAATTAGCTCTCTTGCTATCTTATACATATTAGACATACTGATTCAATCTTATGACTCTTTCTTCTGCTTACATGGCACAACAGACTAAGAGTATCATGTTTTGGGGCAAGAGAAGCAACTATAATCTGGACACAGTTATTGTAACTCTGTTTGCTCTTTGTTTTTGATCTTGCTGGGTTCAAGCTTCACCCTAACCCTAGTCAGAACCAGTATCATTGCAAATATCTTCCACGCTGAAAGGTAAAAATATACAAATTGCTAATTGTGGCAGCTAGACCCAGCAAGTTCGTAACTATTTAAACACAGATTTAAACCCTGTGGTTTCTATATATAATGGGCTGATTTGTTAGATTTTACAGCAGATAATATTATTTATTATTAAGATTTCTTATGTTTATTGTAAAAGTGACCTTGCCCTTCAAACCTTATTCTTGATTCTTCCACTAGTGATTCTTTACTTTCGGAATTTTTAGGGAGAGACTATGCCCTGAGTGAGGATCTCACAATATTGCTAGATTATCTATATTCTTGAACATAAATGTGTGCAGGCAGCACAATACAAAATTATGCAATAATGTATACGTAGCAAAGAAAGAAAGATAGAAGACAAGGATGGGCTTAAGTGCCTTTATCCTAGTACAGAACAAAGGACTGTGCCTAAGCAGAGAAATTATGAATTTAACTAATTCAAGTTAAATTATTTTTACTGTATAGTATTCAAGCAGTGGATTAATTGAGGAAGTGATGTTGTTCAATGCATATGAAATATATCACTGTATGTAATAAATGTGAATTATGTATTAGATAAAGAGTGTAAAGTTTACCTGAATGGGAGGTTCAGCATAGTCTTTCTCAAAAAGTTCAGGATGTGTGTTAATAACAAATTTGGCTGCCTTTTGTCCTGATGTTTTTGACATGGAAAAGAAATGCTGTGAAAAGAATATACCTGTATTACTTTGGAAAAAAATAATATATAATGTATCCTATTCATCATATAGTCCTTGACTTACGAACACACTGGAACCAGAATTTTTGTTGCATTTGCTAAGTGAGACATATCTGATATTGCTATCTTTTTTTGCCATGAGAAAATCACTGCAGTTAACTGAATCCAGCTTCCCACACTGACTTTGCTTGTCAGAAGTTGGCTGGGAAGATTGCAAATGGTGATCATATAACCCTGGAATGCTGCAACCACTCTAAATATATTTGTCAAGTACCCGGATCATGATTACATGGCCATGAGAATGCTACAATGGTCATAAGTACAAGTATAAATCCCCCTTTTCAATGTTGTATATTGGCAAAAGTCCTTTCAATTAAGGAAGTAAATAATTACTTGCCTTCTGATCAGCTGTTTAATGACCAAAGTTACAATGAACTTTAAAAAGCAAAAAAATATCTATTAGATAAGCTTGTTTTGCTTAACAACTATATGATTCAACATGAGTTGCTTAATGACCATGGTGACTCACTTTAAAATTGTCATTCACTTTACTTTAGTGAAGATGGCGGCGCAGCTACATTGTCTCTCGAAGGTGAAAAGTTTTGGGAAGGAAGTAAGCCACATGATCAGGAAGGTTTTAATGTGTTTGAGCAACATAGTGGGACAAAGTTAACATACGACCAACAATCTTTGCTGGTATGGCGAGTTTGTAGCTGTTTTGGAACTGTTGGTGAGACTGTTAAAAGTCATTTGCTTTTTTGGAGAGGATTTCCGGTTGCCGCTGGGTGTAGACCCGGGGGAACGATTGTCCATTTCCCGGGTCTGAAATTCCTTTGTTGGCGAGCCTGTTTGGGCTAAAAGCCACCCTGGAGGGGTGGCTGTTGAAGGGTGAATATTTGGGGAACGGGAGCCAGCGGTAGCTGGCTCTCCAAACCCAAAGCAGCACCTGGAACCAGCAAAAGAAAGGCGGATTGCATTTATGCGAGTCGCTATCAACAGCTGAATGTTGGGAACAGAAAACAGCTGATTTTGACAGCAAGTAGCCAGTTGTTGAGATTATTTTCTATTCCTTGTGGAAAGTGGACCTTTTGATGAAATAGCCTATCTTTAACTGGAAAACTGGAAGCTTGAGGGAGGAAGGAGGATTTTTTCCCTCACCCCCCCTCCTGTACAGGCGGCATTTTAAGCGACTCCATTGCTAAGGAAGAAATTTAATTGGGACTATTTTAAACTTTGTTTTTGGCTGGAGAAATCTAAAAAATTAAAGAGAATTTATTTGGAAAGTTACTCTAATTATTCTTTTCTTTTTATAACTTCAAAACTGTGTTTTTACTCTGAATATTTTTTCAAAAAACTCCTGGAAAAGAATCAGCTTTCCCCTGGTGGTTATATTGTATTTTTTTTTTTCTCTTTCCTTTGTTTGCTGTGTATTTAATTGTGGAGCTTGGCTCAACGCCCAGACATTTAGCTGTATGCCCAGATATCCTTATCTCTCTTTAAAGTTATTGTGAGAGACTGTTCAGCTTCTTATCTGACTGCCTGGCTAGCTGTACATTTCCCATAGCAAGGGAAAATACAAAGGAAGAAGGGAATTTTTTTAAAAAAAAAAATTTTTTTTTTTTGCTCTCTTCTATTTTGGTTGCAGTTAAAGTTTGATTGGACTATAATTTGGATAGTATTTATCTCTTCTTGACAACTTTTATTTTCATTTTTTATTTTTTGCCTGTCTATCTGAAGTCTCTTCCCTTTTCTTTTGACAGTTTGATTTTTTTCTGCCTTTTACAGATTGATTTATTACTATTGTCTTTTTTGTTTGTTTGTTTTTTCCTGTGGCGGGTTTTTTTTTTCTCTAATTTTTTTCCTCTTTTTTTGCCCATTCTGCTCCCTCAGTGGATGGCTTTGAGATTTATTTATTTTTTATTCCTCTAAAGGATTTGGGTTTTTTTTCTTTTTTTATCCTTAAACTACGCCTGGCCTTGTCTCCTGGTAATAGGAGAGCACTGGATTATAAGTGGCCATCAGGCTATGTAGTGAATTATAATTAGCCATTGGGCTTTTTGGTGGATTACAAATAAATACAATGGGGCAAAAAGAGTATTTAGTCAGCCACCAATTGTGCAAGTTCTCCCACTTAAAAAGATGAGAGAGGCCTGTAATTGTCATCATAGGTAGACCTCAACTATGAGAGACAAAATGAGAAAACAAATCCAGACAATCACATTGTCTGATTTGGAAAGAATTTATTTGCAAATTATGGTGGAAAATAAGTATGTGGTCACCTACAAACAAGCAAGATTTCTGGCTCTCACAGACCTGTAACTTCTTTAAGAGGCTCCTCTGTCCTCCACTCATTACCTGTATTAATGGCACCTGTTTGAACTTGTTATCAGTATAAAAGACACCTATCCACAACCTCAAACAGTCACACTCCAAACTCCACTATGGTGAAGACCACTCGAAGGACACCAGAAACAAAATTGTAGAACTGCACCAGGCTGGGAAGACTGAATCTGCAATAGGCAAGCAGCTTGGTGTGAAGAAATCAACTGTGGGAGCAATAATTAGAAAATAGAAGACATACAAGACCACTGATAATCTCCCTCGATCTGGGGCTCCATGCAAGATCTTACCCCGTGGGGTCAACATGATCACAAGAACGGTGAGCAAAAATCCCAGAACCACACGGGGGGACCTAGTGAATGACCCTTCTGGGACCAACGTAACAAAGGCAGCCACCAGTAACACACTACGCTGCCAGGGACTCAGATCCTGCAGTGCCAGACGTGTTCCCCTGCTTAAGCCAGTACATATCTGGGCCCGTCTGAAGTTTGCTAGAGAGCATTTGGATGATCCAGAAGAGGATTGGGAGAATGTCCTATGGTCAGATGAAACCAAAGTAGAACTGTTTCGTAGAAACACAACTCGTTGTGTTTGGAGGAGAGAGAATGCTGAGTTGCATCCAAAGAACACCATACCTACTGTGAAGCATGGGGGTGGCGACATCATGTTTTGGGGCTGTTTCTCTGCAAAGGGACCAGGACGACTGATCCATGTACAGGAAAGAATGAATGGGGCCATGTATCGTGAGATTTTGAGTGCAGACCTCTTTCCATCAGCAAGGGCATTGAAGATGAAATATGGCTGGGTCTTTCAGCATGACAATGATCCCAAACACACCGCCTGGGCAACGAAGGAGTGTCTTCATAAGAAGCATTTCAAGGTCCTAAAGTGGCCTAGCCAATCTCCAGATCTCAACTCCATAGAAAACCTTTGGAGGGAGTTGAAAGTCCGTGTTGCCCAGCGACAGCCCCAAAACATCACTGCATGGAGGAATGGGCCAACATACCAGCAAAAGTGTGTGCCAACCTTGTGAAGACTTACAGAAAACGTTTGACCTCTGTCATTGCCAACAAAGGATATATAACAAAGTATTGAGATGAACTTTTGATATTGACCAAATACTTATTTTCCACCATAATTTGCAAATAAATTCTTTCCAAATCAGACAATGTAATTGTCTGGATTTGTTTTCTCATTTTGTCTCTCATAGTTGAGGTTTACCTATGATGATAATTACAGGCCTGCCTCATCTTTTTAAGTGGGAGAACTTGCAAAATTGGTGGCTGACTAAATACTTTTTTGCCCCACTGTACAACATTTAGAAGATGATTTAAAAAAAACAATAAAATGTGTTTCAAAAAAAAAAAAAAAGATGAATGCCTCAAATTGAGCCAAAGGGGTGAGGAAGGGTTCCTCAGCCCCCGCTTCTACCTCGGTGAGTCCAGCTATTCAGAAATCAATCACTACTTCTCATCAGATAGATACCCAAGCGATACTCCAAGCAATTTCAGCTCAATCTAAAAATATTGATGATTTGAAAATGAAAATGAAAAAAGATTTGAAAATTGATCTTCTTAAAATGGATCAAAAAATGGAAAACTTTCAACAGGCAACAAAGAATGCAAAAAATAGAAGATAAGGCAGGGGTGGTTGACCAGAAAATTGAAGCGTTGCAAGAGGAAAATCAGAGATTGGTGCAAGTGAATGTGGAATTGGAGGACAGCATGACCATGATGGAGATGGATAATGCATCACACTTTCTAAGATTTCAAAATATTGTAGAAGAGAAAGATGAGAATTTGTTGGAGTTTATGAGTAAATTATTAGCAGAATTGCTTGGAATGGAAATGGATCTAATGAAAAGAGAAATAGATCAGGTTTTCAGAATGAACTCAAGCTACGCAAGAAGAAATAGAATTCTTAGGGAGGTCCATGTAAGATTTCTTAAGATTTATACGAGATGAGATCTTGAGAGGGATAAGAGATCAACCACTGAAATATAAACATAAAGAACTTGTAGTTCTCAAACAGATTCCCAGAAGGATAAGAGAAGAGCGAAGAGAATATCAATTTTTAATGAGGAAACTCTTTAATAAGGGAGTGAATTTTAAATGGCTGGTCCCAGAAGGACTACTAATCTTCTGGGACTTGAAAAGATACAGAATAGATACTCCATTTCAAACAGAGGAATTTTTTAACAATCACAGAGCCTTCTTAGAAAAAGGTGATGCCGAACCCAAGAAATCGGAAGAGACAATGGGTGCAGGAGCATCAAAACAATCAGAGGAGGGAGAATCAAAAAAGATGCAATCAGAGGAAGATGTAAGACCGAAAGACCAGAGACAGATCAGCTCCCCTAGAAGATTTTTCTTTATTGAAAAGTTTTATACAAGTTTTTAACAATATCCCCCCCCCCCTAAAATAATATCTCCTCCCTCCCTCCCTCACTTCCCAGAGCTGATTACAGGGTTACAAATAAACAAGCAAATTCTAAATAAACTTATCCAACTATACAAATAACAAAATCAATAATGTGCTTTAACTCAAATACAAAACAAATTTAAGCAAATTAAAAAAACAATATAAGCAATTCCAAATTAAAAACTAAAAATTATTCATAATCTAAATAATACTTTTTAATCC